ATGAAATAATACTGTTCAGAATACAAACAGGCCACTTGTCTTTTGAACTATCGTCTTCATAAAATCGGACTCCTCGACAATGGACTTTGCGACACGTGCTTGGAAAACGAAACCGTCGAACATTCAATATTACATTATCCCCGGTATGATTTCCCAAGATCATTTTTAATTAATCATTGCAAAGAACTGAATATATGCCCCATAAGTATTATCAATTTTCTAACAAATCTCAGAATTATATCTTTTGTTATAGGATTCGTCCTCATATCGGGTCGAAGCAATTGAACACCCAAAACGAGATATCATAGTCAGGGTGCACAAAACTATGCCAGCTATTAACACAATTAAAATAATAGTAATAATAATCAACACGTTATAAAAACAGAGCTATATATATTAAACTAAATTCTGCGAATGACAAGCTAAGCTTTTAATCATTTGGCAATACACAAGATAAACTATCTCTCTAATCAGGGATAATTACCCGAATCAAATCGCCGCTTTGTCACGTACCGGTTGTCAGACCTCAAATATACAATGTTTGATGTGGCTTGAGTGTTACATTTACATCCTTTTTACATTTATCGTTGTTACCCAGTCTTTGACGCTTTTTTGTTGTCCAATAAGTCGTCTCATATTTAGGAGGTTAGTGCATAATCTTTGTCCGGCTCTCCGGAAGTATGTGGACAAAGATGGCGCACAGCCTGAATCTTAACCAGGTACACATACTATGTTCAGGTTGTGCGCTATCTTGGTTCACATACTTCGGAAGCGCCCTTTGTTCTCGGAGATCTGGCTTCTGTGAATCAAAGTGGTCAATTTATTTTAGAAGCAGGAAGCATTCATTCACGTTCACGTTCTAAGTCGCAAGCGCTAAAAAAACTTTTTCTTTTCAAGTTTTAATTTGGTTTCATTTAGCCATAGACTGAATTATTGCATTAAGGCATCATTCGTATTTCATTCAGTTTCTTTTTAGTGTAAACAGGATTATTGCATCATAGTGACTTTCTGAAAGTTTTATTAGTCACTGACATTAGAGTAGATGTTGCGGACATTAGAGTAGATGTTGACATTAGAGTATTGTTGTAAACTTCCGTGTAGGTTTGAGTTTGATGAAATAGAAGCCAAATGGCCCTTTCAGTGCTAAAGGTTGCCGAACATTGGGTTAGGGCACGAGGTTGACCATGGGATCCACTCAGCATAGAAAAGAGGGCGAGAGAGCTAGAGAAAAAGAGATCACATGAAGAACATCGCGATAACTTCCACATCTTTCAACAAATAAATTTTGAAAATTTGTTTAAAGCAAAGCCACGAACTGTAAAAGCTTCAATAGACCGTCATGGTGTGACGTTATACTATCTGGGACATGAATAATTACTCCCCTCTTCCCACTAGCCGTCCTGGTTTAGATTTATGGTGATGCAACACATCTCTGTAAATACCTATTGATGTAACAATTGTAGCGACCAAATTTAGCAAAAGTCACGTTTTGGATGTTGGAGGAACAAATACAAACAGATCACGATAACAGGTTTTATATGCAGATTATTTTATAATGACAAACCACAAACAGTGCTTCTGTTTAGCTGTGGAGTTTAGATTGCGCTGTGTCGATATGGTAGACATGAAGACGCCGAACTATAATGAGTTTCATTTAAAGTCCTTTGCAGAGCATTCGTGTATATCTGTTAACGATGTAAAATTAGACCACAGAAAGTGGTTCAGCAAAAGCGATACGAGCGGAGCCTATTCTTTCCTATCCCTATTATCTCATTCATGACAATTTCGTGAAACCAGGGACGCCACGCATGCGCGCAACCGGCATTTCTAGATCCGCTCGAGTAAGCAATCGATTGTGCTAGTAAATATAGTTAAAATAAGTGTTAATATATGGGGAGACGGAAGCCGATAGGACGACCTAATCACATAGCGAGCTTTTTACCATTCACTGAGCGAAAAGTGTTAGCACCTCGCTCAAGGTGTACTAAATCAGAGGCATAGCTATGGGTTCTAAATTTTTTAATCATCAAGTTAGATCGTAAAAGGTATCGGGTCCGGCCGGGCCTGAAAAAGCGTGTCTGCGTCAGCCATGAGGGTCTAAAGAGCATCGCTTGCTATTTATGATAAAAGAAAATCATTTTTTTACATTTTAAAAAGGGGAAGGTTGGTTCCTGCCCCCAAACCCCATGGGTACGCCCCTGTATTAAATGGGTTGCAGGACTAGGGTGCCCTTCAAATTATGAGCATTTGCGCCGGTGGTGGGCAGGATTCGATTCATTGACTCGACTTGAATTGAACTCGAGTCATAAATTAGCAACTACGTTTATTTGCCATAAGCACGATTTTGAAATGGTGGCGTGCTTTATTTAAGCAAAATAAATGCTGCCATGTTTTTATGCGGTTATACTTCCCCGAATATACATTTACTACTGAGCAACAGTTTAATAAAAGGCGCTCCCGACGTATGAAGGCGCATCTGAATCTTAACCTGGTACACATACTATGTTCAGGTTGTGCGTCATCTTGGTGCATATACTTCGGGAGCTCCGAATAAAAATAAACTAGCGACTAGGGCTGGGCACGTGGAATCGAATATTCGAATAGTAAACTATTCCAACGTTAACGCCCAGCAATCTGTCTTAGTGATGCATTCTATGTTTTTAGTAATTCATTTGTTAACTTACAATGAAAAAACGCATACAATTACACACCTCCCATCGACTATCGAGTATTCGAGATTCGATTCGATTCGAAAAAAATATTCGATTCGATTTTGAAATCATCAGATATTCGAAAATGCCCGCCCCTAGTCGCGACTCATTGGCTGGGAAACACAGCTACAGTGCTTTTACCTGGTACAGTGCCTTCTGAGTGAGTTCGAATAGAATAAAGTATATAAAAGTTAAACAAACAGAACGGAAGCCGCCAATAAAACAGGTCAAACCAGAGATGAAAGAAGTCGCAAAATATTATTTGGTTAATATTTGCTGAAGTATAGTTTTATAGACTTCTGAAAAAGCGTGGTAAAATATACTAAAATTGATGGTAATTTTGAGCCTCCCTTGACGGGACTGTTTGAATTTATAGCTGACATTAGCAAACTATGGCCTGCGGGCCGAATTCAGCCTGTTTCGTAATTCAATTTGACCCGCCTGATGCTGCCAAAATCAAATTTTAATGTTTTAACTAATACTAACTCAAGAACTTGTTAACATTGCTATTAAATTTAGTTTTGACACGAGGCTTATTGTTTTCGATTTTTGCTTTTGTAACACTTTAAATATTGTTCGTAAGTATAGATGCCCAGACCACAGGTCCAAAACCTTGCTCACCCCTGGTTTATAGGGTTATTCAAAAATTTATCTAAATATACCAAGATTGAATGGTAATTGAGTCCAACAGCAAAAGCGAAAATTTGGACCTCCTGGAGTGTGCGCACCAGGATGGCGCACAACCTGAACTCGGGTTGTGTACCAGGTTAGGGTTCAGGTTATGCGACATCTTGGTGCGCATACTTCAGGAGTTCCGGAAATTTTGTAACGTTACGAGTACACATATAACTAACTACACGGTTATAATGAACTGGTTTACAGTCGTGAACTTGAAAATGTTTACTCAGTCGATAAACTGACTGGTAAACCGTAAACTTTTATCTCTACAATAAAAATGTGAATTTTTAACTTTTGACCGGATAACCGGTACGCGAACTAAAGTTTCAGAAATATTTATATTCTCTATGAAATTTAAATACAAACAGTATCTCGCTATAACTCGAAGATTGAAAGAAAACTATAAAACTTTATGAATAAAGTATTATTTTGGCTGAATGGCTGTAGTGATAGTGGAGTTTAATGATGCTTTTTTGACCGTTAACTATGTGGTTAATTGGTAGCGTTACTTGACCATTTAACCGTTACCTTTAACTAAGCAAAATCAAATAATTTATAACAATAACAGAAGTGGTGATAATTTGAATGCCTTTTGACAATTATCGAGCTTAATTAAATGGTTGACCGTTATGGATAAACTTGAAAGCAGAGGTTGAAATGTCTTTTACCCATTACCTAAATATAATTGACCGCTCAATCGTTAATTATTAAACCTAGAACAGAGCAAGGTGGACATTTAGAATTCATTTCAACTTTTCCCCAAACATAGCAGCCCGTATGCAGTGCAAACAGTAGCTTACAATAAAATATAGGTCGAACATCGAAAGAAAACTGTAAAAGTTATAAATCAAATATTATTGGAGGTTTGATAGTGAAGTTGGGCGTTGGATAACAATTTGCCGTTTGTCGTTTTTTTAGCCGTTATCTGGGAGAATATGACCGACTCAACCGTTACCGTTACTTAACTGGCTAACAATTACCGTTTTAAAGTTGAAGACATTTCTTCGACAATTAAATGAGCAACATCACTGACAGAGGGTGGAGAAAATTTGGAAAAGCCCCGTACCTGAGCGGAAGAACGCTTATTACTTTTAGTGGGGGCTCGAGACAAGAACGTGGACATGAATTTTCAGAACGGGAGGGGTTATAATATTTCTACCTGAAAGGTTAGACCGTAACAGCTAGCAGGGTTGACCAGAGGCCTGAAAACGCGAGTTCTTAATAGTCTTGATGGTCTATAAAGCGTTTCAAGCTGCGAAGATTTGCTATTTATGATACAGAAAATGGTTTTATTTCACATTCCAAGTTGGGGTTCCGACCCGCAAACCTTCTCGCCCTGGGTAAGCCCATGACTCGAGACCTTGCTTTGGTGACATTTACATAAAATCTTATTTATAGCCTTTTACCGAGTTAGTAGTTGCATTTGAAACTTGCGCCAGTGCTCTTTCTGTGTTCAGTTGAAGGTTCAGGACCTTACTTCGCCTTAACTTATTATGTTTAATTTAATAATAACAATTTTTTTAATCTTTCGATCTCTTTGTAACATTCAAGAAATAGAACGTTTCAATGGTATAACTATATACTCTTATTATGGAATTATCTTCCCACACGGACAAAAGTGTGCACATTAACTCTCATATATGTGCACATGGGAAATATACGCATAGGAATGGAATATATTTAACAACAAAGCATATCGGACTTGGATTATGTAAAAACTGCAGGTCAAAACAGCGACCGGGACATATTACACATTCTGCGGGAAATTACCTCACTTCCCAACGGCGGAAATTGTTTTCGTCATCAGCCTTATCTACCTCAAAAAATCAATTCTTTCGTCACAATATTTCTACATTTGTATTATTATTCAGCATTATTCATTTGAGCCAGTCATCTAGACAGATATTCGGGCAATTAGTTGTCGGTAAGTCGTTATGCTTATCTTTACACATTCGGTCAAATTGCTATTTGACTTACGCTATAATGAGAATAGGATACACTCTTTGCTCTTAGACTCTGGAAAATCACTAATTATCCTACCAGAGGGGTCGTGATGTTAATTAGGAAAATAATATTGAACCGACCTATGGACAATGGTTTTAGTTATTTTTTGTTTATGTGGTTGCATGTGGTTGTGAAAAAATTGACTTTTTTTACAATTATTGAACTAATCCAGGGGTGTTCAACAGATGGCCCGCGGGCCACATATCATCCCGCTAAGCTATTTAGTGAGGCCCTCGTCAAAGCTCAGATTTCCCCCCATCAAGTATAAAATCCTAATCCGGCAGTTTATGTTTAAAAAGGCGTTCACGTGAATAAAAAATGAATAATACTTTTGGCTCTTTTCGCTGCGTTAAATATTTCGCCGTTTTGCCGAGTGCTTTTATTACTTTAAGGCTAAGCGATAGCAGCGTTCACATTTTTTGTGTGGCACAGCTAAATGTCTGAAGTTGGTTGTATGGCCTAACGACAAAAAACGTTGCACATCCCTGTAGTAATCGATTCAAAATTCTCAATGCTTGTAGATTAAAGACGTCACTTTGTCGTCAGAGATTCTGTGCACGTAAGACATAGGTGCCCTATGTTCAAAAATATTTAAAAAAATAGTGTTCTATGCTGTCTGAAATTGAAAAGTTTCAATATTCATTGCTAATTGAAGGCCAAGTTACAATTAGTTTGCATGACTTTTCGTTTTATGAAAAAGTTCCTATACAGTACTTACAGGTTCAAGATAATATTTAATTTTAAAATTTTATTTTAACCGCGCCCATATTGAGGTCTTTGTTGTCAGCATTTATTAGCTATGGAAATTTCTGTGGTGCCGCTTTTCCCTTAGTGCCCAAAGCACGTGCTTATTTTCCTTAATGTTCAATATAACACTGGTCTAATGGAAATGTTTTACCAGTCTCCCGCTATTCGCAGCCATAATGTAACTTCTGAAAAGCAACTGTGGGTAAAGGTTCGACGCTGGGTCAAGTGCGGACAGATTTTACTCTGTTTTTAAAGTAAGTACATCCGCACGCAATGCGGTGTTCACTCAAGTTTATTTTTACTTTGAAATTTGAAGATTCATCAAAAACAAACTCGCTGTGGTTTTGTTGTATAGTTACTTTTGACTTTTCTGTCTTAAACCAAACTTTCAGTTTCTTGTATTTTACAATCAATCATTTTGTTTCGGTCTCTCTGGCTTGAAACAGCAACGAACGAACAAACTAAAAGCAAAGATATACCTGGAAGGCGAGCATAACTTAGGAAAAATTTGAAACGTACGCGCATGTCAACCAAAAGCTTAATCTGTTACATCCTGTGTGAGGTGGTCCGCATGAAAAGTGAAACCTGACCTGCAAAACCAACACATTCAAGTCGTTTGTAAAAGTCTTCGTGCACACCCTGTAAATCAAAGCGGATCAGTTTACGGCCCGCGGGACGGATTCGGTCCATCGAAGTGTTTTATCCGGCCCACTTGTGTCTGTTGAAATTATGACTATAATTTTTATGAATATAAATTTCCGTTGAGAATATCGATGAAAATAACGTCATAATGACCACGATTGCTACTCTGTGATTCTCATTATTATATAAACGTTAGCCTAGCTGTTTTTTATACAAAGTTTGTCATATTCAGTTTCGATCTTCCGGTCCAGTAGCCAAGTCTATTATCTGCAACTGGCGAGCTCAGAAAAGTAAATTCCCACCTTGCTGTAAATTTACTTCTATTCAACTATTCGATTCGCTTCGGCTCCAAAATGTCAAACGAAAAAAATTGTTAAATTCAACGATCACTCAACGGTGCTCAAAATATCCCATTTCCTATCTGTATTGTTATGTAACAATACACCCCATTTATTGACTCAAATGAGAACAAATCGAAGGTCTCCCCACAAATTTGTGACACAATCGTTTACTAACTGACCCAGAAAATTAAACAAAAGTTTTTTAGGTAAATGATTTCGAAACTTGATATGTTTTGGAAACAAAATACGACTTCAAATTGTCTAAAAACCTGTTTTTTGACCCAAAAATGACTTTTCGTTTCTAGATTTCCATTGCATTCTAGATGCTTGAAATCCAAAAATTTGTGAAAAATTTCCCAACTTTTGATATTTTACGCCATACTTTAAATGCATCTGAAAACAGCTTCACAAATTAGGGAAAATTGACCCAAAATTGTATAAAAACCTGTTGCAGGCTCAAAAATGACTTTTTTTTATTTTATTTTTACTCGTATGCCATACTTGAAACGTATCCAAACTTGAAATTTTTTTACAAATCACCCAAAATTACATTTTTGAATATTTTTATTTTGCCAAACAATGCCTAAATACCATTTCATTTGCGTAAATTCGCTTGAAAATTTGCCCAAATTCGCAAAAAGAACATTCTTCTATGACTTGCTTGATTGAGTTCTGAAGATCTTAGAAAATGTTACAAAAAATTGAGTTTTCAAAATCTGAGTTTTGAAATTTGCAAGAATATGTTGATATTTAAAACATTTGAAAGGATAAGGACAGGAGTTTTCAAACTTTCGGTGTTATGGAGCCCGTGAAAATGTTGACTATTATTTACGAAGTCACACAATAAATTTATAAAAATGAAAACAAGAAAACACATTGTTATTAACTGATTAATCTTCCCGAGTAAACTAAAATTAAATTGTAACTTATAGATAATGTCATATCTGAATTACCATCTCGTTGCCACATTCCATATCGAGACTTGAACGTTTGGTCTTTTTGAACCTCGCAAATCATTAATTTTGTTCTTTTTTTCACTCAGGAGAAGAAACAAATTGCACGAACGAGGGCGAGAAAGTTGAAGTAGATTTAATAAAAGATAACCCTTGTTTTCAATGTGTGTGTAAGGTGGGTACATGTGTATGTTAAATCTTTATGTGTATGTGTGGGATATATTTATATGTGTATGTGTATATAGGTAGCACTTGTATGTGTAATTGATATGTGTATATGTAGGTAACGCTTGTATGTGTATTTGTACACATATATGTGTGGGTATATGTGAATATAGATGTAGATTTATATATTTAGAAGATTTTCGTGTTGATTAGTATTTCGAATCATAGCAACCAAATTAAATTTATTTTTCAAGATGCAGGATCTAAAAAGAGGGACAGCATGAAAACCCTGTATTGTTACGCCAGATTTTTTTTTACAAAAGGGCTCCATCATTCTGTCATCGTGCTGTTTATGACCCTTGACCCATCCGTCATTGTAGCGGTTTTACATAAATGTATCGGTTTTACGCCAATTAGGCACTGCAGGCATTGATTTATCGAGAAGGGTTTTGGGTTGTTTTTACAGGCGGTCACGAAAAATTAGAAACTTCGTCTTGTGATATATATATATAGAAAATATGACGAATTCAGTGGAATTTTTATGTGATTAGGTCAGATCGAAATTTTAATGGAAGAATGTCTCTATTATTAATATATATATATATGTGTGCTTGAATATAACCAATACACCCTAATTTGCAAGTGTATGCGTATAACGCAAGGATTCTGTAGCAGGAGTAAACATGACTATTCATTTTAATTCAAGAGACCTGCTGCACACTAACACAAATATATCTCTACAAAAAAATACTTTTGAATTAAAAAAAATATTCTGTTTTGTGATATGTAGGAATGAATATGTAATTCAAGTGAAATTTTGCTGCGATTTTGGGAGTGGGGTCTGACCCCCAAATCAAGGCCTTAAAAACTCCCTGGTGCCCGCCACCTCGTGGATGCCGAGCCTTTTTTTTAAACTATAGGAGCTTGCTTTATATCAGTGACATCTGGAAGATTTCCTTTGTTTATACAGGCGTTCACGAAAAATCAGCCATAAATTAGTTGGCCGATCAATCAGTCCAAGGTCTGGGTGTCCAGTTTAGTGGATCAGCCATTTTCTGTGTTTACGGTACACTAATCAAAACCCGGGTGGTCTAACCTCATTTAAATGTAACAAAATATTACATCATCAATCAGTGACATCTTTGTCGATGTCGTCATTATTTTCATAACAAAAATTTCTTGAGATATATTGATAGAGTCCACGCAAAAATGATCGAATTAGAATCGCATAAAAAATATTCGATTCGATTCAAAAATCATCAGGCATTCGAATATGTCCAGCGCTACCTGCAATGCCAACTTAGTTATACACCACGGCCAATAAAACGTGGAAATCGTAAGGTGGGAACTATGTCCCGTGAAGCCTTTACTTGTTTATAAACATAATATTATTTTAGCGTTTGGCCAAACAAGGGAATTAACGCCGATCAATAGGCAGAGAACGCACTATACATCAAAGTAATGTGATTAAAAATATACGTAAAATTATCCTAAATTTTATGTTGTCAACCAGTCATTTTAAATTCAATATTGGAGTTCTTGACACTTCAATGCTGAGAGACGAGTCTCTCTCAGTTGTTAAAGAGTGCGACTTTGCCGTGAGAATATCACTTTGGGGTCACATTACTTTGGGGGCATGGACAGCGTTAAAAAGTATAATACCTTTATTGAACAAATATTTTAAATTTTCCTTATTGCTATTGCGTTCCACATGTCTTTGGGTTCTTTTGATAATTTTAGTATTTTTATTTTTTCTAGTTGGCAAGTCTGAATATATGCCATTGTGCAAGGGGTTCTCAGTCCACTTTCTTTGCAATTTTCTATTAAAGAAAAAATGTGAACTTCTGGATTTGTGGTAGTCTCGATAATCCATGCAAAAAGTCTATCTGAGCGAGTTCAATTTTTCTGAAAACTTGGAATTTCCTGTTTGAAATTGGCTCGTTGTACTTGGCCATATTTAAAGTAGGCAATAGGCGAAAAACGTCGGATAAACAATCATTGTTTACGAAACACACCCAAAATAGTTAAATTTGCGTCTTATTGTATCGTTTTTAAAATAAACAAACATTTATTCTCACGTCAGAATAGGGATAAAATGACAATTGACTCTTAGTACTACGAATTGTGACGACAGAATTTAAATTTATTTTGTTACGAATTGCTCGTAACTTTGCTCGGAGAAGAGTCCCTATCCCTTCTGAGTGAACTCCGACTGAACAACAACAGAGATGAGTCTTCTTTACTTCTGAGTGAGTGCCCATAACTTTGCTCAGAGATGAGTCTTCTTTACTTCTGAGTGAGTGCCCATAACTTTGCTCAGAGATGAGTCTCCTTTACTTCTGAGTGAGTGCCCATACCTTTGCTCAGAGATGAGTCGTCTTTACTTGTGAGTGAGTACCCATAACTTTGCTCAGAGATGAGTCTCCTTTACTTCTGAGTGAGTGCCCATACCTTTGCTCAGAGATGAGTCGTCTTTACTTGTGAGTGAGTGCCCATAACTTTGCTCAGAGATGAGTCTCCTTTACTGCTGAGTGAGTGCCCATACCTTTGCTCAGAGATGAGTCGTCTTTATTTGTGAGTGAGTGCCCGTAAGTTTGCTCAGAGATGAGTCTTCTTTACTTCTGAGTGAGTGCCCGTAACTTTGCTCAGAGATGAGTCATCTTTACTTGTGAGTGAGTGCCCGTAACTTTGCTCAGAGATGAGTCTCCTTTACTTCTGAGTAAATACCCGTAACTCTGTTCAGAGATGAGTCTCATTTACTTCTGAGTGAGTGCCCATAACTTTGCTCAGAGATGAGTCTCCTTTACTTCTGAGTGAGTGCCCATAACTTTGCTCAGAGATGAGTCTCATTTACTTCTGAGAGAATACCCATAACTTTGCTCAGAGAGGAGTCTCCTTTACTTCTGAGTGAATACCCATAACTTTGCTCAGAGATGAGTCTTCTTTACTTCTGAGTGAGTGCCCATAACTTTGCTCAGAGATGAGTCTCATTTACTTCTGAGTGAATACCCATAACTTTGCTCAGAGATGAGTCTCATTTACTTCTGAGTGAATACCCATAACTTTGCTCAGAGATGAGTCTCCTTTACTTCTGAGTGAATACCCATAACTTTGCTCAGAGATGAGTCGTCTTTACTTGTGAGTGAGTGCCCGTAAGTTTGCTCAGAGATGAGTCTTTTTTACTTATGAGTGAGTGCCCATAACTTTGCTCAGAGATGAGTCTCATTTACTTCTGAGTGAATACCCATAACTTTGCTCAGAGATGAGTCTTATTTACTTATGAGTGAATACCCATACCTTGGCTCAGAGATGAGTCGTCTTTACTTCTGAGTGAGTGCTCATAACTTTGCTCAGAGATGAGTCGTCTTTACTTGTGAGTGAGTGCCCGTAAGTTTGCTCAGAGATGAGTCTTCTTTACTTCTGAGTGAGTGCCCGTAACTTTGCTCAGTGATGAGGCTCCTTTACTTCTGAGTGAATGCCCGTAAGTTTGCTCAGAGATGAGTCTTCTTTACTTCTGAGTGAGTGCCCATACCTTTGCTCAGTGATGAGGCTCCTTTACTTTTGAGTGAGTGCCTGTAACTTTGTTCAGAGATAAGTTACATTTACTTCTGATCGATTGAACGTCACTTTGCTCAGAAATGAGTCTCTTTTACTTCTGAGCTATTTCTTTGAGCAAATTTTTCATAATAAAATTATTGAAAAACTCGTGTTCGCGCTCCTTCATTTATAAAAATTAATTCTTTCCATTAAATTCATCCAAGTCTCGACATCTCGCTCTGTCTCTCTTATTGTTTGAATTTCAATTAGTTCGATGGGATTGTCCATTTGTCCGATTATTTGCTCATAGATTATCTCTTGTAACATCATAATCCCTCTTAATGTGCTGTTAAGAAAATCGTAAAATTTGGAAATTTGATTCTAATCAGAGATGAGTCTCCTTTACTTCTGAGGTATTACGAACAATACACAACCATAATATCGTCATTTCCGTGGTCGCCCATAACTTTGCTCAGACATGAGTTTCATCTGTACTTTTGGGAACGTTTCCTAGCGACTGTTCCGGAGGTTTGACAGTGAAATAAATAATGTTACCATAATTGGTAGCCTTGTTTATTAAATTATATATGCAATAAACCATACTACATTAGTAAACGACATAGAAATCTTTTTGTCGGCTGCGTACGCGCGGTTATACCTTAAAATCTCGTCTTGATGTGTACGCGGACGTCTGCAATCAGGGGTTAGGGTTAGAGGAATTTCATTGTCTGCTCTGTGTTATTTCACTGGTTGCCCGTACATTTTCCTCACGCTAGAGTCGTATATGTAAACTTACATTAACTCCTGTTTTGGGCAAATGATGCGGCTTAAGACTGGACTGTAAAATTAATAATGTTACCACAAATGGTAGCATTTTCTTACATAATATATACAATGAGACGCATTCTTCGTCGTAATGCAAAATTGAATTATTGTCAACTGCAACCGCGCGGTTCTCTTATTTTGAAGTTTCGTAACGTGTGAGAACATTGTTATGTAACAAAAGCCACTATGGTATTTTCACCCCCAAGTTCCGTGTACAAAATAAAAATTACTGGAGCGCGCCGTTCCAGAGAATACCTGGATAAGAGGTGCTCCCGAAGTATGTGCACCGAGATGGCGCACAACCTGAACCTGATATGTCTATCAGGTGGGGCATCCAGGTACACATACTACCGGAGCGCTCGATAAAGACCGGATAACCGGACGAGAGATCGTTGTTCGCCCTATGGTTGAGCCATTTTATCGGATTTCCGCTCAAGAGGAATAGTAAATATGTAAATCCTGTTCCCATATTTTACTCTGCGAACAAAACTGCAAATGTACCGTTCAACAAAATACAAGAGTGATGCTCAATGTGTAGTAATACAATGAAATATCTCTAACCTAGAGCTTTATGAATGTTTCCCCGAGCATCGATTTCCTTGTTTATTTCCATAACGATGACCAACCGGCAAAAAGTCAACGTTGACG